ACGAGCACGATCATATGCACGCACCAACATCCTGGCGTGCTGCAAGTGCTCGAGGGGCTCCCAAGTAGCCTCCTCATCAGGGTAGCCCTTCCAACGCACAAGGTACTCGATGCGTGGAGGGGTATCGTCGGTAACTCGGCGCGATACGATGTCGGAAACAACGAACTCCTCGTGACCGTCCACCATGATAGGTGGATGGCGCTCATAAGGGCGTCCGGCGAAGCGCTCGGACGGTCTGCGATAATGACGCAACAAGGAGACGTGGTAAACATCATGTACGCGAGTGTGTCAAAGGTAATTAGGTAGCTTCACACGGAAGCTGACCGGACTAGCGGCAGTATCAGAGCCGACGGCCTGAAGGATGTGGCATGGACCGAAGAAACGACGCCTCTACTTGCGAAGCATATCTGCTTCGAGCTGTAAGTGGCGTGCGTCGACGAGCACATCGTCACCGACTTTGAATGGATGATCCATTCGTGATCGGTTCGCTCATGCGGCCATGCGAGTCTGGGAGTCGACTAAGCTCTCGTGTGCGCGCTTCATAATCGCCGCCATGTGGGCGATCTAGGCGTCAAGCGCAGGGCAACGAGTGTCTGGACACAACCGCGATGGTCGTAGGAAATCCGCAGGTACGCGAGGGTGGTAGCCGAGGTCGCAATAGAATGGCGACATCCCCGTGGCTGGCGAAACAGTGTGGTTGTACGCAATCTCCGCGTGGGCTAAGTGTAAGTCCCACTGCTGGTCATCCCTAACAAACTTTCGGAGGATATTACCGAGAGTTTTGTTGGTGACCTGAGTCTGACCATCCGTCTGAGGGTGGTAAGACGATGAGAAGCGGAGCTGGGATCCGTACACCTCGTGTAGGCGTCGCCAGAATGTGCTAGTAAAGCGCGGGTCACGGTCGGAGATGATGCTCTGAGGTAAGCCGTGATCTCTCACGAATTGGTCGAAGACGATGTCGGCGACCTCACGAGCGCTAATGCGATAGCGGCACGGAACAAAACGTGCACGCTTCGTGAAGCGATCGACGACGACCAAGATAGCATCATGACCGCGCTGAGTAAGTGGGCGGAGGGGACCAATGAAATCCATCGAGATAGACTGCCAACGACCTTCAGGTATGGGTAGGGGATGAAGTAACCCATACGGAAGGTGGTTCACACTGTTCACCTCCTGGCAGGTAGGACACTCCTGGATGTAGGCTTTGACAAAGTCTTTGGACTTCGGCCAGACGTATAGGCGGCAAACACAAGCCAACGTTTTATGGAAACCCATATGACCGGCAGCTGCCTGGTCATGGAACTCTGCTACAGCCTGGACGCGGAGCTGTCCGGTGGAGGGAACGCAGATACATGGTTCTAGCTGACCAGATCTGCCATGCCAGTACACGAGGCCGTTCTCCCCGAGGGAGTAGGAAGGAACGATCTTGCCACTCCGCAGTTTCGCGTGGATGACGCGATAATCAGGGCAGTGGCGGTACTGAGTGTGATACGCGTCGATCACCGACTGATCAACACTGGTGATGGAGATGGCAGCAAGATGGATGGGTTCCTGATTGTGATCAGGACGACGGACAAGGCATCGGCGACGTGGTTCGTTTCACCCTTGATGGGCTGAGTGGTGAAACTGAACTCGGATAAGTCACGCCACCAGCGTGTCTGTCGAGGGGAAAGCTTAGGCTTCGTGAGGAAAGCCTGGACAACTGAGTTTTCCGTGCGCACCGTGAAGGGCGCCCCGTGCAGATAATGACGCCAATGCTGGGTAGCATAAACTACTGCGAGAACCTCACGTTCATCGGCAGTGTAGTTTATCTCAGCAGATAGTAGCTGACGGGAGTAGAAAGCGATCGGCAATCCCCAGCACGAGCCTCGACAGTCCCATCCTTCGCGATGGACTGGGAGTAAGTAATGGGAGGACTGTTAGTGGAGGGAAGTGGTGGTAGGATAGACGTCAGTCGAGAAGCGGTGTTGGCAGGAGGGGGGGGAAAAGGAGGAACATGGGGGTAAGGTGAATCTTGAGGAGAGGGAAACACCTGAGAAAGGACAGCTCCTACTGCAAAATCTGACGCATCGGTGGTGACGATAAAGGGACGATCAAAATCGGGAAGGCGAAGAACCGGCGCGCAAGTCACCGCCTTCTTGAGGGCGCGGAAGGCGTCCTCACAGAGGGGTGTCCAAAACCACGGCGGGTTCTTCTGGAGGAGGGTGGAGGTAAGGACGTAGGAATACCTAGCGTATCCCGGGATAAAATTACTATAGTAGCTGGTGAGGCCTAGAAAGCTGCGAAGCTGCTTGGCAGATGTGGGGGCGGGCCGCTCTGCAATAGCAATGATCTTCGCGTCGTCCATGTGGAGACCCTGGTCAGACACATGGTGTCCTAGGAAGTCCACTTTGCGCTGGGCAAAGCGGCACTTACTGAGCTTGGCATAGAAGTTATGCTTGCATAAGCGCTGTAGGACATCGCGGAGGTGTCTGATATGGTCTTCTAAGGTACGACTGTAGACCAGGATGTCGTCCAGGTATACGAGAACGTATTCTTCAAGGATGTCCCTGAAGATGTCATTCATCGCCGTCTGGAAGGTGGCGGGTGCATTAATGAGGCCGAATGGCATCACCGTGAACTCGTAGTAGCCGAAGCGCGACCGAAAGGCGGTCTTCGGTTGGTCCTCTGCGGCAACGCGGATCTGGTGGTAACCGCTACGAAGATCGATCTTCGTGAAGAAGCGGTTGCCTGCCAGATGGTCAAACAACTCATCCGTGCGGGGCATGGGATAGTTGTTCTTAACCGTGTAACGGTTAAGGCCGCGATAATCGATGCAGAGGCGGAGAGTTCCGTCCGCTTTGCGAGCAAAGAGGACAGRTGCACCCCAAGGGGAGTTACTAGGTTTAATGAAACCAAGTTGAAGGAGCTCCTCAAGCTCACGCTTGAGTTCTATCGCCTCTGGAATCGAGAGTCGGTATGGTGCCTGATGGTGAACACGATAGTCAGGCACGAGCTGGATGGAATGCTCGACACCGCGCATCGGGGGAATCCCACTGTATGAGAAATACGGGGGGAAGACGTCGCGGTACTCCCGAATCAGGTCGCGAATGACGGGCTCTAAGTCAGTCGTGAACCGCATGAGTTTCTCAACGTCTGCGTCGGCACGACACGTATGGGTGGACTCGGCAGTGGACGGCGTAGGAACCTGGGATGTCGAGGGGGTATCCGCAGGCTGCGGGGTGGATGTAGAGATGGGAGCCGCGAAGATGGAGGAAGGGTTAGGGGGATCGGGCTCCTGTGAGATGAGCTCAACCTCGGGACAAAGTGGATCGTAGCGAAGAAGATCCATGACGTTCACTGAGTAGAGCGTGACGTCCTCCTGTCGGATGAAGTGAGCAAACTGACGGGGAGAAGTGAAGGAGATGTCTAAGTGGGACCCAGAAGGACGAGGGTCCTGGGGAGGTAGGTTTGGAGGGGTGTCGCCCGTGGTTCCAATGAAGGGGACTCGATGGGTTTGACCACACTTCGTTTTGAGAATGAATGTCTCAAACGCCCATTCGGCCTCTGTGCTATGGAACCGGCGAGACCAGGGAGTGCCAAGGATAAAGTCGTACCCAGTCTCCAGCACGTTGAAGTAGGCGGAGGAATGGTAGCGCCGAGGCGCCTGGGTACTATCCGGTGGCTGGAGGGTAAGGGAGAAGTGGAGGTCGGGGACCGTCTGATCGAAGACGTGCTGCGTCTTGTTATATCCGAGGGTAACGGAGATAGGAGAGCGAGACCTAGAGGTAGCTAGGCGAGCTTCCTCAACCACTTGAGGGTGAACGAAATCTCCCTGCGAGCAAGAGTACCATAAAGCGCGGTACACCCTCGTAGATGTCCCTAGGCGAATAGGGATGATGGGTAGGGTGCGATCAGGGTCAGAGAGCAAGGCGAGAAGAAGACGCAGGACGTTGATGTGTCTCGTGAGGCGCTCCTGAGGAGCCTGCAGAATGCTCAAGTCCAGGAAAGATGACACAACGTAATCGCGAGTCGCCAGCTGAGCGCCACAACGGGCTGTGCGAATGGCGCGACGCGTTGGAAGTCTCAAGCGAGAAGCGCTAGATGCGGCAGTCTGCTGGGAGGCAGAYGGTACCTCGATAGACGATGGGGCGGAGAGAACTGCGTCTATCGTGTCCTGAGGGTCCTCTGGTGGGGTAGCCAAAGGGGCAAACCGCAACTCGGTGGTCGGAAAGCCGGCTACGTGCGAGGCCTCAGGGGCACAGTGCACTGTGGCTAGGTGGATAGGGCTGGCCGGGCGGGGCCGGGGGGGGACTGAGATCGACGCTGACGAGAGATGTCAGCGCAGTGCCGATCGAGGGCGGTACGGTATGGACACCGTGAGGAGGTGTGTCCATCTAGGCGGCAACGAAGGCAGCCGCGCCAGGCCTCGAGGGCGGCATGCTCCTCAGGGGATAGAGCTCCGCGAGGAGGGACATAACCCTGCGGGATGTCTATCTGAGGAACCGTGGGTGTGCGGACGCCAGCCTGTGCAACCCGACTACAAGCACGACCCATGGCAGACATGGCCATCAGCAAGCGCTCAGCCATCGGAACAGTGTCGTCATCCAAGTGATACTAAATGACGTCTCGTAGCTCGATGTCCTCGGGGGGGTCCCCAAGGGTAGGGTCAAACTCGGCCGAGGCGTCCTCGCCGTACTCCAAAGAACTGTAGCACTGAGAGAATGACGCTCCAGGGCGGGTCGGGCGATGAAAACGACCAGCAAACGAGGAGCGACCTCGGGTGGTACCCCGAGACTGAGAGGTGGCGGCTGGCCGCGAAGAGGAGGGGTGACGGAGAAGCGACTGCACATCCTCTGGTACTGACGCGCAACCTCGTATGCCTGCTCCGCGGAAGAGAATGATCGCCTCCATAGCTCTAGGCGATAGTCAATCGGCAGGCTGACAAGGAACCGGTTGGTGAGTGTGACCTCCGGTAGGAACGTCTCGTCACAAACAAAGCGAGCGTCCTGAAACACCCGGATGTGACGTTCCAGGTTGGCCGGTACAGAGGAACCGGACCATCTGGTCAGGGTGACGTGGTCTAAGGCGTCGGTGGCATCATGACGAGCGCCGAAACGGTCCTGAAGGAATGCCGCGAAGTCGGTCAGAGTGGGGACCTCACCCACGCGGAGGCGCTGCGTATAATGATCCTTCCACGCAGTGGAAGGGCTACCTCGCAATTTGGTTGCGAGCACATCGCACCACAACTCCGGACGGGTGGTCGTCATAGAGAGCGTGCGCGTTGCTATCTGCAACCAGCGAGAGACATGGGTTGTGCCATCATACTCGGGAATGTCCCTGGTGCGCACAGGAGGATGTCCACTGTGCTGATGGCGGGGGGAGAAAGATCGAGGCGAGTGCACTGCGGCAGCGTAAGTCGAGGTCGCTGCAGGGGCAGAGGTGGGGGAAGGTTGTGGGCCATGGCCGCTAGCGGATAGACCAGCAGACGAGGAGGCAACGGTCGCGGGCAGCTGTCCCGGAATAGCCAGGTAGGAGGGAAGAGGCTGAGGAGCAGGTCGAGGGAAACGAACCTACATCATGGGGACCGAGGGGGTGGTAGAGGAAGAAGGGTGGTCAGCCTGTGATGGGGGAGGCTGTCTCAGAGCGAGAATCTCCGCCTGAGCCTGTGCAATGGTGGCCTGTAAAGTGGCCATGCACTGGGGGCGCGGGGTCGGAGGTGGAGGGGGCGGAGCGGGTTTCCCAGTGGGAGGAGGAATCCCAGTCTGGGCGGTACCCTGCTGTGGGGGTGGGGGGACAAAGGCGGGAAGAAGAGGGCGGCGCCGTATTGCCACGACCAGTGCGGGAAGCTGGGAAGCAACACCGGTGTGGGTCGATAAAACTGTTGGGCCTCAAGGCGGTACCTGAACCGCAGCACCTACGGCAGTAGTAGAGACGGTAAGGGCGGCCGTGGCCGGGAGAACTGCCGCAACAGACGGGGTGGTCTGAGCGGCAGCAGCACTCGCCACTGCTGCGGGGGAGTGTTGGGCCTGGCTCGTAGAGGAGGGGGAACCACGATGTCTCCGACTCTGGAGTCGTGGGGAGCCGGACTCGGAGCCGGTAGGGGATGGGGTATGGGAGCGGTGGGGAGAGTGATGAGGAGAGCCCTTGAGGCGGTTGACGTCAAGGGCAAGCGCATTGATTTGCGCTTCCAACGGTCCAAGCTCACTAAGTTGCGCCTGAATCGCTACGAGGGTGGCATGAAGGTCCATCGTGTCCGCATGGGCCTCACCGTGACCCGCTGGTTGAACGCTCACCTGGGAGGTGGACGGCGCCGCGGTGATCTCCTCAAAGGAACTCCCTTCCATGGTCGGAAGGGAAAGGAAGGTAGAGCTCACTGGTGTGTGTGGGGAGAGGGGTCCACCGATAAGAGGAAGGGGACCGCGGGAGCGGAGTGAGTATATGTGAGTCGGCTCACCCCGAATTTGGCGGGTTGTGCGTGAGAAGAACGCGTCAAATCGCTCGAGGGGGGATGAGCCGTTCGGGTCCAGATGCCCGACGGGAGGAGGCGGGAGAGTAAGGGGTTTAAAAGAACCCTAAACCCTAGAAAACCCCTAAGAAACCCTAACCGGAGTTTAAGTGGTTAGGGAAGGGTAGCGGCGACCTAATCAAGAAAAAGATAATATGGAAGGGGGGGGGGGAAAGAAAATAGAATAAACAATAAAATTTCGAGATAGAAATAAAATAAAAAAATTAATAGAAATAAATAAATAAATAAAATGTAAAGAGTGAGGAGAGAGAGAATATTATTTTTTTTGGAATTTTCGGCAGCATTTTCCCACCCCGCATGGGGTCAAATATGTGCCAAGAGGAAGGAAAGTGCAAGAGGAACACACTAACTTTCAAAACGCCGCAAACTAAAATTTTCAAAAAAATAAATAAGTAAATAAATAAATAAATAAGGAGGTGGAGGAGAATGAAGAGAAGCTAAGTTTTGGAWTTTTTCAAAAATTTCGGCAGCATTTCGTTGCCCCCATGGGGTCGAAGTGTGCCGTGAAGAAGAAAGAAAAATAAGAATATTATGCCAGCAATTCGCTACCCCCAAAGGGTCAAAATGTGCTGAAAAAGACTAAGTATGAAGAAAACAGAAAATTTCGGCAGCACTTTGTTACCCCCACGGGGTCAAAATGTGTACCGAAAGCAAAAATGGCTAAGTCCTAATCAGATTTTAGGATGCCGCAGAAGATTTCGAATTTTTAAAATATATAAAATAAATAAAAAATAAATAAGAAAATAAGAAAAGAGGTAGGGAATAAGATGATTCAAGTTTTTGGAGGAAAAGAGAAAATTTAAATAAAAAAGAAAGAAAAAAGAAGAAAAAAAGAAAAAAAAATCGAAGTGGTGGGGGAGGGGATGAAAAAGTGATAAAAAAAAAGAAAAAAATAGGTGGGAAAGAGAAAAGATTGAAGTGGTAGGTGAGGGAGATGATGGGGTTGTAGTTGGGGGAAGAAAGGAGRAGAGGAGGGTAAAAGAATGAGAGAGAAAGCTATGGAAAAGGTGAAGAAAAGAGTGAGAGATTAGTAAAAGAAGGTGAGTGGAGAGAGAGGAGAGAAAAAGATGGTGGGAGATGAGTGAAGAGGGAAGGGTATGAGAGATTAAGGGGAAGGAGAGGATAGAAGTAGGGAAAAGAAGCAAGGAGAGTGAGGTTGGGAGAGGAGAGAGTAAAAATATGGTAGTGGATGGAGAAAGAGTGAAGGGGGTGAGAGATTAGTAGGGAGAAGAGGAGAGAAATGAGAAAAGTGGAGAGAGGAGTGAGAAAAGGTGATGGATGAGTGGTGGTGAGAGAAAAAGAAGGTCAGATGATGAAGGGGAGAGAGGGAAAAGGGAGTGGGAGAGTGGATTAGGGATGAGAGAGGTGATACCAAGCTCTTGGGTAACCAAGAGCATACAACTTCACCAAGATCCACAAGATCTTGGCCTTCACACACCCCTTGGGAGAAGGGGTCTTCAAGGTGGTGATGAACTGCTGCTGCACATTATCTGGGGTTGRCTGAGATYTTGATCAGCCACCCAGTTCCACTGTAGTGCAGCCCCCTAGCCAGGGGGGTCTTCAAAA